CCTTTCTGTTCTGATTGGGGAAGCAAGTCATGTTTTTGTATGAAAACAACTCTCTAAATTAATAAGTTATATTATATAATAAACTATTAATAATAATATATTATTCATATAAGTTATATTGTTAATATAATATACTATATATAACGAAAATTACCCTAAACCTACCGGCCACCCCTTCCTCTCTCTTAATTTTTGAGTTCGGCCGCCCTCCCTCTTCTGAGTCTTCTCCTTCTCCTCTCAAAATCTCAAAAGGCTCTCAACAACGAGAGCTTAGGGTTTGTCATTTGTGTGCATTTTCTAATCTCAACTTCAATTTTTCCTCGGCAAGTCAGCATTACCTCGATTGCTCGGTATTCTTGCTCGGTTGCTTGTTTGGCTACCGAGGGTTATCTTTCAGTATCTTCTCTCTAATATTTCATATTTATCCTCAGATTTGCTTCTTAGCTGAAATTTTCTTAAATTTATTCAGTTTTTTTTGAGTGAAACATAGTTTTTGGGAGCGAAATCTCGCATATTTGATCTCTTCTGCTCCCAGAGAATGGTGGACTGAAGACATATCTGATCTTAAGATCGATATCTTTTGCTCCATTATCATGATGCTCTCCAATAAGAAAAAAAACTGCTCCTTTCTGCTCTGATTGGGGAAGCAATTCATATTTTTGTATGAAAACAACCCCCAGATCCAGATGAAGTTAATTCAACACAAAGTTTGAGTAAATATGAACATGAAACCAAGGTGAAGAATCAAAAGGTCTGGATGACATAAATATATTAAATGTAAATGTGATTTTATAAATGAAATGTTAAATACATATATATATATATATATTTTAATGTTTTGATTTTTATTTATATTTTTTGTATTTTTTTTTTGTTTATAAATTGTAACACTTCTAATAAATTAATTTTTATTGGATAAAATTTTGTAAAATAATGTTAATATTCTTATTGTGTAAATTTTTTAATGAAATTTATTCTTGATTTTTTTTTTTTACTTAAGGAATATTTTATGGTTTCAAATCAAATTATTTGCACAAAATTATTATTTTAGTTTTATTTTAAAAAATAATAATTATAATAATTTATTATTCGAACGAGTTAATTTCGAGCCAAACACGAACATGAATATGCTATTTGAGCCGAACACGAACACACTATTCACGAGTCATTTCGAACACGAACCAATTTCGAACGAGCCGAACACGAGCCAGGACTCAGCTCGCTCAGCTTCAGCTTATTTACAGCCCTAGCCCCAATCAATCAGTTTTATGCCATAAGATTAATTAATATTTTGCCGATCAAGCTCTACTTGAGTAGTCTCTAAGTCCATCAACCTTTGCTTTGGTTAGCCTCTGATTTTGTTGACCCTTGGTCGGCCGCTCGATCAGTCTACGACCATCTGTTTACTGTCACTCGGTTGTCCTTCAGACCTTTTGTTTATTCTTTCAGAGCTCTGTTAGATGACACATGCTCTGTTTGATGTTGTTTGATCCGCGGAAGATTCGGTCAAGGTTATTTTCATTAACCCTAATTCCATTTATAAAGTAACAATTGCATTTTTGATGTGATATTAAGGATTTAAGTGTTATGCATGTAAATATGAAACTTTAGGTGTAAGACATATAATTGCATAAGAATTATGTGGTATGAATGTAAATTTTTCTTAACATTTTATTTATTTGTTTTTTATGTCACATTAAATTGCCCTTTTTTTATTTTTAATACAAGATTTTTATTGCTAGCGATCAAAACCAAAATGAAAAATAAAAGTAATTCAATATTAGAAATAGATTTTAAAACAATAAGAATGATTATCTTGATGGATTGTATGTGAATGATTTTGAATTAAGACACTTTCGATGACACCCCCTTAGCTCTTTCCTAGTTATACATCACGCATATAATATAATGACAAAATAAAAATTTTACAGGGAAAATTATTCTATCAGGACTCCGAACGTAAAGATGCGCTCGGACTCCACTGATATGCGGACACGTGGCTTCAAGGACCCACACTCAAATCTTCAGAAAATAAAAAAAGATAACACAAGTGCTTTCCTGTAATCCGGCCCTGTAACACAGGAGAATATTCCTCCCGTGTTATTCAAGTGTTATTGTGGTGATATTTATGTGTTATTGTGTTATTATAACACTGGATATATTCCCAGAAGAGAATAACACATGAATATCATCATAATAACACCTGAATAACGCAGAATAACACAGGGGGAAATATTCTCTGAGCTAAAACAAATTTTTTTTTATCACCTACATGTGGCGTGATTTAATTGGACTTCGAACTTATATCTACGTCTGGAATCCGGATGTAATATTTGTTCAATTTACAGACATATTACACAATTCTCATGTATTTCTATATCAAATACTTAATTTTTGATATTTTGATGTTATAAATCTATTTATTTAATTTTGAAGTAGTTAATAATGATGTTATTTTTCGATGATATTTTTTATATTAATATAAAAATTTAAATTTCATGTGTATAATTATTGAATTTTAAATGTTAAATTTATAAAGATATAAAAATTGTGGCATGCATATAAATGCCTCGATAATAAAATAATAGGGGTTAATATTTGTTCTGTAAAAGTACATGAAAAGGAAGCTGTTAACGTCATTGGCCCGGCCCACATAAATGCAAGGTTGGGCTTATTTGTACGATTCTGACAAGATCAAGTACATTTAGTTATTGGGCTCGCATGCATATATTAATTGAAAATAAAATATGAGAAAATAAAGGATTTTTATGGACATACCACCTAATTTCTATTTATTTATATATCCAACTCCAAAAATTAGATTTTTATATTTATATGACTTAAAATTTTCATATCATAAGAGTGAGTACATAGAATAGGTGGTAGATATGTAAATACATAAGAATTGAGTGGTCCATATGTAAATCCAGAAAAAATTCATTATGATAAGTGACCACTTCTAACTTTTATATAACCAAACTCTTAACATATTAGTTGGAAAAATAGAATAAAAATGTCAAAGCCTAAACTTCACTTTTTGAAAAGTAAGTAATAATTGCATTTTTTTGATGTGACATTAAAGTGTTATGTATGTATGTTAATATATGATAGTTTAGATCTTAGGTATATAAATACATAAGAATTGTGTGGTATGTATTTAACTCCTACTTTTATTTTTAATAAATATTTTATATGTATAACTTTTCATCTCAATTATGTGGTATGTATTTAAGAGGCCAGCATGACATTCCCACGCCCTGACGCAGCGCCCAAGTGTCGAGACCAGTAGCGCCACAATGCCCACTCTAGGTTTCAAAACTTGATAGCTCGACATTTTGGCTCCCTGAGGTAAGCAACAGAACGCACGTTAGAGCTCCATGACACCACTATCGCGACGCCCTAATGCCTGCAGCTGAATTCAAGCAGTTTCATTCAAAATCTCGGCTTCTCTATGGGAAATGTGCATCTTGATTGTGCGAAGGAGAGAATGAGTGTCTTGAAGTGTACCGACGGGAGGGACAATCAATTTACAATAAATTTAGAATTGGGTTTTATTTTAAAAATTAGAATGGCCATTTTGATTGATTTATTCTATGGGAAGTCGATTTGGAAGCATGTGACAATTAAAATGATGCGCCAAACGATACCTCCTTAATGGAAAAAAGAGCACTTATTAGAACTAAGCTATTATTTAAAATCAAAATTATTATTTTTGATTGGGTCTTTTTCGAGCTCATAGATTTGTTGGGCCACAAACTCTCGGGTACAATTTATATTGTTTACGATCTCTCTCAATATTGCTCCTTGGGTCATTCTTTTTTTTTGTGGGCCCGTGACATGTTCCACGATCATTGATTTTATAGGATGTTGAATCCTGATTTGTTTGTGAATCACACTAAAGGAATAAAACATGAAAATGAGAGATAGAATAGAGATGAGGTATTTTTATATGTTGTGTCAACACCCTATATTATATTTAATGCTCATTTATTTATAGAGGTTTATGATTAATGTGAAATGAAAATTACATCCCAACCCTCTTTTATCGGTAGACACTAATCAATCAGTTTTATGTCTTAAAATTGATGAATATTAAGTGGTTCATTTTTTTGCCGGTCAGCCTCTACTTAAGCGGTTTCCGAGTCGATCAACCTCTAGTTCGGCTGTCCTCTGTGTTGGTTTGCCCTTATTCAACCACTCGATCAGTCTTCAACCGGATGTCTACTGTCGCTCGGCCGACCTCTATGTATCTTTATTTATTCTTGTAGATCTTTATCAAGTGAGGTGTGTTCTGTTACTAGTCGTTTGATTTGCGGAAGGTCTGGTCAATGAGACTTTTATTTTAAAACCCCTAATTTTATTTTATAAAAGTAACAATTACATTTTTGATGCGATTATAAGTATTTGAGTGTTATGCAAGTATATATGAAAACTTAAATATAAGATGTATAAATACATAAAATTGTATGGCATGTAAAATTTCCTTAACTCTTTATTTATTTATTTTTTATGTCATATTAAAACGCCCCTTTTTATTTTTAACAAAAGATTTTTATTTCTTAAAAGATAAGAATTGATGCCTCGAGATTTGAATGTTTCTTATCATCTTAAGATTTGTGTCATGCCTTGAGATTTGTGTTGGATGATGAAAATATGTTGGTGGTGTATCAAGAATGATTATATTGACTGATTGTATGTGAAAATGATTTTGAATTAAGATAATATCGATCACGCCCGCTACTCCTTTCCTGGCCGTAAATCAAGCACAAGACAATTGATAAAACAATCAAATGGAAATTTATTGTAGGTCAATCATCGCAACCGTCAAGGTTGTCATTACTTTCATCAAAGTATTCCTGATTGCTATGTCGTTTATTCAACTGAATTGTTTGACTTGATCTCTCAGATGATTTTACCAAGCATTTGGGTTAAAAAAAAAGATAAATATGCATTCTTTATAGATAACTGAAGCACTAATTATATTACATATTAAGCTACATTTTAGATCTTAATATATTATGACTGTGATTGTTCTATAAGTTTGAAAGCTGAAACCCAAAGATTTTCCAAGGGTCTTGATCACTGAAGAGCGAGGTTGAATCACCCTGTTGTTGTTGATGCAAGTGGGGTCTTTCTATGTCTTCTTCAGTTTGTGTGGCTACATTTCTTGTGCCAACAACATTCGAACGGATTCGAAAATTCTGACTCTCCAATGCTGAAATATTGTCATTCGCCACAAAATATGTTATTAAAGAATTACGAAAACAAAAAATAACAATAAGAATGGAAAGTATAGTAGGAAACATACCATCATTGATGAATGCTTCACCTCTAGCATTTGAGTTTCTTGTGATGGTAGCTTGTTTAGTGTTGGCTTTCGAATGTCTTATGAGGGTGTTTGCATCAAAAGCGAGTGCTTCATTGGTTGCGTCGATATAACTCGGCCTGCTAACATTAGAAGCCTTATGTTCTAACCCAGCTGAACGGTGTTCTGGGTCGAATGGGGGGAAGAGAAAAATTCGAAGCTTAGCGGATTTATGATTGCAGTCTTTTGAGAGAGAGTCAAATTCGTCCATCATGTGCTCCAAATCCTCAGCAGTGCCAACCGAGACAAGTATGTTTAAATTTTGACCAGGAAGCTGGTAGCAGATACGGACAGGGCCGCCATATGTTTTCTCCATCTTGAAATAAAATTCTTGAAATGCGGTATCACGGTGGACGGAAAAAATCCGTTTTTGTCCGCCAACATAGTGCAGGTTTCCGTCATTGCCACGGGGGATGAGCTTGCCGCCAAAGCTGCAGAGGAGCTTCACATTGCATGGTGATCGGTCCTCAGCCTTGGCGTCAGCATCGGGCAGGCTGTCCAAGTGGTGGTCGTGATAGAAATTCCAGAAGAGAGGCTTGGGGCAGAGGTCGGGACGGAAATTCCAGTTGACGGAGAGGGGAGCGCAGGAGTTCTTGGAGAAGGGAGTGTTACGAAAAAGGGTGGAAAAATGGAATGGAGAGATGGGAAATTTGACGGGTGGTTTATGCATATGTTCGCTAAAGGAGTGCACAAGCCGCAGCATTTTGCCGAAGCAAGAAGAAGCAGAGGCGGCTGCAGTGGACCTCATTGGGAAAAGCAATCGGATAGGAGAGGGCTACCAAGTGATTCGGGGTAGAAGAAGAAGAGCTCGCAATCTTGGTTTTGGTTCGAAGTGATTGGAGCGGGCTGTGGATTGGAAGAAATTCATAAAATTGAAGTCTTTAAGCGTTCTCATCCGCAGGGAATAGCTAACAAACTCCTCTAATTCCTCAACGGCTGCTGATTCTCTCCTCCTGAGTTCAGAATTCTTGGGCAAAATATCAAGAATGTCCCGGGAAATTCATAATTTAGTTACACCCTCAAACTAGTATAAAACTTACATAAGAATAATTGGGTGTGTCATGACATAATTGTTGCAATTTCTTATTTTTTAAGTTCTTGGGTATGATTTGGTGAAATCTTCTAAGAGAGTTGAGATGTTATTCATATGAATAAGAATAATTGGGTGTTTGATACTTGAACAAATAGAAATGGTTATGTTGCATGGAAATCCATCTTATTAGTTTGGTTTTAATTTTGTTTTTTTTCTTTCCTTTTTATCAATTTACATGTATCTCATTCATGCCTCCCTTGTTGATTTTTGTGTTTGTAATACTTTTTTTTATTCTAGACATGAGATGGTTGTAGGGGCTTAATATATCATTTTAACTTTTTGTTAGCTCAAAAGTTATACAGAGCAGTGTGATTTCAGTTGCCTTTTAAAAATTGTTTTATTGGATAAATTTAGCGTTTTTAATTTACTTGAACCTCATTTCCTTGAAAGAAATTTAGGTGATTGAAGAGCGAGGTTGAATCATCATGTTACTTTCTTTAGCCGGAATCCCATGCTCCGAGAAGTCAGTTTAGGAAGTCTGCAACTGCTTGTACCTTAATTATAGTCCAAGGAACGTAGGTGATATCGAACTCACTTAGATCCACTCCCCACTTGAATAGACGGCTGGAATGTTCTGGTTGGGCAAGCACTAACTTCAACGGATGATCAGTAATCACACGGATGGGTTGTGTTTAGAAGTAGGGTTGCAGCCTATGTGTCAACACAATTAGAACAAAGGTTAGCTTTTTCATAATTGGATACCTGACCTCCGCCCCTTAAAGAATATGGCTGGTGTAGTAGACTAATAATTGTCTCACCAATTTCATAATTACAACAAAGGTTAGCTTTTTCATAAACGGATACCTGACCTCCGCCCTTTAAAGAGTAAGGCTGGTGTAGTAGACTAAGAATTGCCTCACCGATTCCTCTCACACCAAAATGGAATTGATACAAAGAGATTTATTTGTTTGGCTCCAGGCTTTGGAGGAGTGGCGATGAAGCTAAAGAATCCTTAGGGCTCTGGAATGCTATCTGG